CAGCATGGCTTCCAAAAAACGCTGCAGGATTTCTCAAACATGCATGAATGAGTGAAAGCAAGACTGGGCATGTTTTTTATAAGAGGATAACATTATAACATGATGTAAAACTCAAAAAAGTTGATTTTACATGATATTGCCCCTTTAACATAAGTAAATAAAGGTGTGTCAGGAGAGGTGTCTCACCTGCACTCAGTTCCACGTTAATTGTGATGTACAACAGAAATGTGCGTGGATTCAGACATACGCACAGTTTGATAAATCTGGATTTTTTTGTTCGTACGCAGTTTTCTGGATTTCACTGTACGCCATGTTTCAGTAAGAAATCCACACAAGTCTTTGCACATGAGGCCCCTGGACTGTGTCTTGTTATGGCTGATTTTCGTTCCTCTTCTTTCAAGTGCAGACCTCCACCTCTCCAAGATCTCCTCCTCCTGTTCCTGTTCTCATCACAGATCACATCTGCAAACATCATAATCCACAGAGATTCCTGCCTGACCTCTTCTGTTAGTCTGTCCATAACCACTTTTTAAGAAATAGTGGGAAAAAAAGTCAAGTACTTTGCTTTTTGAAAACAGCATGGAAGGAGAGAAGCAAAATATTGGGTTTTCATGTTGAATATTTTCTGTCTTTTAGGAACAACATCCTGACAGAGCTGACCTCAACGCTGCCATGGCAGCCTTTAAAAGCCTTGATGTAAGACACACAATGATCTTTACTGACAGYTATTCCACTTGTCCATGAGTAATAGTGTTTTTCTTTTTAACTTATCTTAGTTTTAAACTCTGCTGTAGGGTTGGGCACTGTTTGACTTTGAACAATTYTGGTTTCTAACGATTCTGGAATCGTTCTGTTTAAAGGCAGAGTCAAAAAAAGTTTACTTGTTTCAAATGAGGTAGGGTAGCTAACCTGAGTTCTTTCTGGATTAAATACTCTTACCTTATTTTTAGTTTTATTTCGATTAACTTTTTCTTTTTACTTTTTGTGAACTTTACTAATATTTCCTCACAGGGCTGTTATCAGCCATTATATAAACATCAAACCTATGAAATTGAATAAAAATGTTATTAACTTTGCACAGGGCTATTCTGAGAATTGTTCTGSTGCACTGGCAGATTATTTCTCTTAGTTACAGAATATTCAGACTCAAATCAAGTAAAATAATCTGTCAGTGGAATGAGACAATTGCATTTGGTTTTACTACTTGAAATAAGGAGAATTCCCAGACTAACGAGATTAATAATCTAACGTAGTCTGCTCTTGTTTAGYAGATCAGTCTCAAAACAAGATCAAAAATACTTTTTGGCTAATATAAAATTGTAAGACCTGGTTAGATGAACATTTGTTGCAGTGTAGACTTTTACAATGAAGCTTTATTTATATAAAAATACATTGACAGTCAGTATCTTGTAAGAAAATYCGTATTCAATAAACTGAAGTCGGTATTAAAAACGCAATTGTTAAATAAAATGATTTGTACAAGGAATTAAACCATACAACACCAGAATTTTGGATCTGAGTGAGGTTTATTGTCACTCAAGCTGACAGGAAACCAACACTACCGGAAAACCAGGAAGTTCATGTTTTTATACACCTTCTTCAATGCCTGCGTTCGCCCCCTACTGACCTACGGCTGAATCACAGGCATTCAGACAAAATCCTCAACACCTTCTTCAATGCCTGCGTTCGCCCCCTACTGACCTACGGCTGAATCACAGGCATTCAGACAAAATCCTCAGCTAACGTCATCACAACGTTTGATTACGTGTTGTCACATATTTCGGACATGTAACTGAACTTATTTCAATCAAAACATAATAGATTAAACACTGTCAACATTACAAAAAGGAAAACCTAAGAATATAGTGTTGTGTTTTTAACATCAGTACTAACCTCTAATAACTTTAAATTTCTTCAATGGAATGTCAACTTTTTTTTTGATTCATTGCTACAGATG